TTTGCCAGGTTATCTATCGTCAGTTCATTTGTTTTACATCCAAACAAATGACGTACAATGTGCGTGTATGTCGCCATTCTTTTGAATCATTCATTGCGTAAGAAACATTGTTACTTATTTTTTAAACTATTCATTAATTAAAATTTAAAATATCCATATTTCTTACAACCGACACTTTGGAAAAGTCCCGTCTTAATACGAAAGTAGGTGTCGTTGTAGCACTAGTTTCTTTATTAATGTTATATAAAATGTTACTTAAGTGATGTAAGTAAAAAGAGAGAAATAGCAAAACGCTTATTGCTAAAAACTAATAATGTCCGTGCAGTGGTTTACTCAGCTATTTGGACGTCATTTTATAATTTTACTACTGGATATTTTTGCATTTAATTTCAAATATTTATTAAGTTACATTAAGAAAGGGACGGAAACTATTTTAGTTTTAGGCTACAATTTTGAATACCGTAAGAACTGTAAGACCGTAAAATATTTCAAGAAAAAGATACATTCGTGTTCTAATTTAAGACCTTTACCCCTTACGTCACAGAGGTCAACCTTACGGCATCAGACCCACATTAAACCCGACTGCTCCTTCGAAAACTCCAGATCTTCGATGATAAATTAATATTTTTAAAGCTCCGAGAATACAATCTTTTATGTCAAAATACGTATTTAAGCTTATAATAAATTAAAAGTCTATATTTCATGATGTATGAAAAGATTGTATTATGTATATATACATAAATACATTTTAAGCCGGGACATATTTATATATATTCCATTGAAATCTTTAAATAACTCTCCGATCTTTATTTACTGTCTGTGATGTATGAAATACGAAATATTAATTTACGCTTTTGTTAATAAGAAAATAATTGGGAATAAAAATTTTACTCATTGTGAAATCAATGAGTTCACATTATGAATTCAACAAGTTTTCACACTATATTCGAACTGTTTTAGACCACTCTGATGATGCGATTGTCAGGGGACGTGCAGCAATTAAACCTCAGTTGACTCAGTCATGATTAATTTACAACAGGTAACCAAGTCCTGCTGAAATCTAGTAGTTAGCAAAAATACTTCCTGAGTACTAAAAGATATTAAGTTAATTGTAATTATTATTTGTATCACAAAAATATAGTATACTGCTAGACTCGATCCGTTGAGGGCAGAATAATTTTTTTTAGTGATGGTTAATATTAAATATTTTTAACAGAAATTTTGATGGAATATTAAATTTACATATATGTATATAAATTAAAGTAAGCATTCAAGTATTTTGTATTTTCATTTTATTTTTTTGGGTAGTTATTATAAAAATTGCCTAAGTTAATTTTTTTTTGTGTAATTGATAAAGGATATTGAAATCAATTTTGTGAACGAAAAAATGAATATCTTTCGCTGCTTAGTCAAATAAAGTTTTCAGTAATCGTTTTTTTTTTTTAAATAATAATTAATCAACTAATTATTGTAGAAGTGAAGCAATTACTGATTCTGTTAGAGCAGATTTTAAAAGAGCAATATTTTTAGGATATTAATATTTAAAAAAAATTCGGGCTTACTTTCTTGGAGTCGAATATTACAGTATAAAGAGATAACAAATAGTTAAAATATACCACACAACATATAATAATATCAATAATATAATACAATAATATAATAACATCAATCACACAATTGTTACGGTCGAGTGTGAACATTTTAGACTCTTTGATGTCTGCGGTCTCACACAGAGTACGCATAATGACTATTTATAAATTATGCATTATAAAACAAAGCATTAACATGTACCAAGATAATAAATTTAATACACTGGAAATACTTTTAGACATATGGAATTTTTTTTGTATCTACAATTGTTTCGTACCTCGGTTATCTTATTTAAAATTTTATTATTGTTATGCTAAACTTATAATGGTAAAATTTTGCTGCAACGGAGCTGCATTTGCCGTGCGAAATAAATTTAACTCTGGCGTCACAAAGACAAAAAAATATGGCGGGTTGTCAACGTCAAACAAGAAGACAGTGACAGCTATAACAGATATATCAAATACATCAAAAACAATAACATGTTATAAATGTGAAGAAGATGGTCATTATCGAAGCCAATGCCCATTATTAAAGAAAAATAAGCAAACAAATGCTTTTAGTGTTGTTTTCCTGAATGGAAAGTTTAACAAAACAGAGTGGTACGTAGACTCCGGCGCAAGTGCACATATGACGGCAAACGAATCTTGGATTAAAAACATGAATAACACATCTTGTTTTCCTGAAATTGTGGTAGCCAATGACTCCAAAGTGCCAGTTGTTTGTTGATGAAAAACACTACTATATACGAAACAAAAGCAATGTTTTGGTAGCCACAGCTGATTTATCGGATGGTGTTTAGAAGCTGAGGTTGTGTACACAAAGTTGTATGTTGGCAGAACCTGAGATAAGTGGCAAACTATGGCACAGAAGTCTGGCACACATAAATTGTCAGGATATGAATAAAATGAGAGTGAGCAGTGGAAGCGTGCCATGGCCGACGAGCTACAGTCTTTACGAAGACAACAATGCTTGGGAGCTCATTGACAACCCAGGTGATGTGACAATTGTGAAGTGTAGATGGGTGCTTAATAAAAAGTTTGATGTGGACACTAATGTGCGGTTCTGGGCAAGACTTGTGACTAAAGGTTTTTTGCAAAAACCTGGCATTGATTATACAGACACTTTCTCTCCGGTTGTGAGGCATTCCACACCTAGATTATTATTTGCTCTCAGTGTTAAATTAAATATGAGTATTGATCACTTAGATGTAACTACAACACTTAAATGGTTTTTGGAAAGAAAATATTTACATGTCATTACCTGAAGGTTTTGTGAACAAAAGGGGGGGAAAGGTATTGAAACTTAAAAGAGCCATATATGGGTTAAAACAATCTTCTCTTGCATGGTATGACAGGGTTAAAGAATTACTTAGTAACTTGGGTTTTAAAAATAGTCAGTACAAACCTTGTTTGTTCACAAAAACTAAAGGTGAGATTAAATTAATTGTTGCACTGTATGTTGATGATTTTTTAATTTTTTCAAATAATTCTGTTGACACTGATAATTTGAAAAGATAAATTTTAAATGAATAAAAAAATGGCATGGTTACATATTTTTTAATTATTATATTTTAAGTCCTAACCCTAACCCACAATAAAATCTAATAGAGAACACATGGGGCGCCAGGCTTAGTTTTTAGTATGCATTGGCAGGGAACTTCATAAAGGAACGTATATTAATTTACTGTACCTCCTGTAGTCATTGATTACAATAAATTATAATTCTATTCAATTTTCGAAATAAAATAAATATATTCAAACCCAACACAATCTACAGTTTCAGAGAAGAAATACTTCATATTTCAATCAGAAAAGGATATAAAAAAAGTTTACCTTCATTGAAATAACTTATAACTAAAGGCTTTTTGCGTACGCGCTACCTAATAAAAAAATAAGTCACCATTGATGGGGCAACATCGTTGTATAAATAAAATATTATATAACAAGTGAAGCTGCTGACTCCACGAAACAAACTCCAAGCCGTGTGATCCAAAATATTCCTGGTACCATACAAGCAATGGAATGGGATTGCTATCCTAACATCGGGGCAATCATGTTGTCTTAGGTATGGGTTATAAAGTTTTAATATGTAATTCTTATAATAAGTAAGTATACATTTTCCTGAACCGGAACCACCGGTTGCCACCCTACATTATTGGTGGAAAATAAAAATAACTATAACATTTAATTTTTATACAGATTCAAAGCTTTAATATTTTAGACCAATGTCATTTATAAATTTAACATATTAGGCCAAGTATAACATGCTTAAATATTTTTTAATTCCTTTAGACTTCAGATACTATCCTTTGAATCAAAATATTCTTTATAAATTTTCTTACTATTTGTCACAAAGACGTTAGTTTACACAAACAGCATAATACGGAGTATATGTTATGTGTGTATTTCGATTAGGCCAAATTAAACATAAAATATAACTCAAATCATCAGTAATTTCCAATATTACACGTAACATCCGTTCAAAACATAGGTACATAACATTTCATAAATCCTTTACAAATTCCATTATGATTCAGGCACATATCAATATTATAAATTACTAGTAAACCCGGCGAACTCCGTTTGGCCACTAGATGACTTCGTTTTATGTCACATTTCATTTGGTGATTAAAAGATGACGATTTTTTTTGTATTATATTTGAAAAGGAAAATTTTATTTCATTTCACAACAGTAATGAATTCATTTCGATTACAAAAATGAAGTGTTATTCAGTTGAACTTCTCTAAGTAAATGAAAGTGAATCCAAAGTAAATGCTGAATCGAAGCGTTATACGTGTCCTCAAAATTATCCGTTTCATTGGAGTGCTCTTTGGTAAACCACATAGGTACATATTTGTTTTTTTGGTCTAACGTTAACACAAGCAATGCGGATGGTTTCCCTAATTCTCTGCTCAGTTATTTTCATGTGACAAACCGGTACTGTGTTTATACAGTTTGAACTCTTAAAACCATTTATTATTTGCGGGATAAATTTAGAAAATCATTGTTTTTCACACGGGCGTTATATTTTGCGTGTTCACGAGTTTGGAAACCATCCGCTTTATTTGTGTTAAAGTTAGACCAAAAAACAAAAAATGTGGTTTACAAAGGACCACTTCAATGAAACGGATATTTTGCGGCCACGTATAACGCTTCGATAAGTTATCTATGTACTTTGGATTCACTTTGATTTACTTAGAGAAGTTCAACTAAATAAAACTTCATTTTTTTAATCGAAATGAATTCATTACTGTTGTGAAATGAAATAAAATTTTCCTTTTCAAATATAAAACAAAAAAAAAATTCTTCATCTTTTAATCACCAAACGAAATGTTATATAAAAGCCTTCAAAAGAAAATAGTATTTCATCTTTTATATTGTCCTATAAACGTGGGAAATCAAGTTCTTACCTTTATTTCCCGTATCTGAGTATCAAGTCCACCGATAACCTCATAAGTCTCTTGGGGAGCTTTCTCGAGCTTCATGACGGACACCATTGGATCAGTATCATCACCGAGAACACCCACTACAGCATGAACCTACAATGTTACATAACATCTTAAAGTTCGGCAACTTCAATAAAATTTTAGAGATTTATATATGTGAAAAGAAAATCCCACCTTTACATATGAAATATTATTCTTATATTTATTAGTAACAATCCTTTGCTATAACTAGCAGTTAAAATCCTACTAATATTATAACTGCAAAAGTTTGAGTGTGTGTGTAGGTTTGTTACTTCTTCACGCTCAAACGGCTGAACCGATTTTGATGAAATTTTGTGCACAGGAAGCTGACGTCCAGGAATAACATATAGGCTACTTTACATCCCAAAAATCCGCGGGTAACACCGCGGGGCTCAGCTAATAACACATAAAAATCGTACCTAAAACTGTACCTTAATATATAGGTACATATTTTTTAAAGCCTTTGAAAATTTTAATTACTTTTTGTGAATAAATATTTTTCATTTTATACTTATTTTCGATTATTTTAAACAATAACCTTTATTTAAAACGAATTCTTTTGAATCGTGAGAAAACCATTAACAAATAATATATTTCAGAGATGCCAGTATATTTCCCTGTTCTCGCTACATAATTAATTTGGCCCGTTGTCTTTAGCAGGAAATATGACTACCTATTTAATTTGAGTTTATTGGTTTCGAGGAAGATTTGATCGTGGAAAGTAATAATAAATATTAGAATTATCGATTTACAATAATGGTGTATAATAACTACCTATTTTATTAAATAATACAACAGTACTAAGGCTTGCAATTATTATAGGAATAAACATTAAAATCTTGAATTATAGAGATTAAAATATTATCATATTTTGATCCTTAATTCTTAATAACTTATTTCTGCCATGTTGTCCTGATACCGCCTTTTTTTAAAGGGAAAAATCATCAAATGATTCCTCTTGTCCTGGGTGGGGCAAGAGGGAGTGTCAGACTCCTACTGAATAAAACTCCCCGTACCTACTCCTGCTCCAAAATAGGCGGCGGTACATTTTTCGCTTACATCCCCGACCTTCGCATGGTAAGTTTAGTTAGATAAATAGTATTAAAATTTTTATTTCTGGTAACACATACCTACACCCTAGAAGTTTATTAGCTTTTCCTGAACTTGTTATTCCTTGTCCCTGGACCGAAGTATTTGTATGAACGAATATGTCAGTAATTATACTTATGATTCAATAAGGAATAAACATTAAAGCAATAGAAGTGAGAACAATAGAAGTGGATCGTCGAAGGAGAAGGTAACTGATATAGCTTAAGTCAAACGCACTATAACAGTATTTTGCTTTTATATGTCAAAATTTAGAAGTGATCTGTGTCACAATATGTCCATGCATCACTATGAAACTGTAAAAAGGAATAAATTCATTTAGTCTTTGATTTATTTTCAGTGTTTTCCTTCACTTGTAGTTGTTTTGTGAAAGTATTTCCGAAACATTAAAAGCAGCCAAGACTGTATAAGAGTCCTTAAGTCGCGTCAAAGCGTGCTTGGCCATAGAGTTTTAGTCTCCACTAGTTCTCCTGATATGTTTAAGATCCGGAGAAACGTCACGTGCAGAGATGTACTACTGCAGAACTAACGGGGCAGGTGGAGGGAACAATTAACATCCTCACCGCTAACTAAACTCGTATGCACGCAATTGTTTGGTGAGTCAACCAACAGTTTTTGAAACACAACCTCGTTATTAACGCCACCACAGCGCATACTGATTCGTCACTAAACATACCGTATGTCAGTTAGTGTAAAGTTACTTTCTTGAATTTAAGGATCTTAGATTTGAAAGGGAAAATTTTGCAAGGTTTTCTTACCAACTAATGATGAATGATTATAAAAGTTTATACCAGTTTATGAATAAATTAATAATGATAAAGACCATAGAGAAATATGTTTATGTTTATTTTGTAATTTTTAAATCTAATAGTGACAAGAGTATTATTTTAAGACTTAAGAAGTTTCCTAGTTTTCTATTACTCAGCATTTTAATGTGGAAAAATATTTTGAAAAGTAGAAATTTTCATGGCATCCATCCTTTAAGGAATGCATATTTTTTAGTAAGTATTACTTCATCAAATCGCTATATAATATTTCAATACCGTAATAAAACTATTTTATTATTAATCATTTAAAGCGAATTATTAAGCATCGAAAATTACAAGCTGTTTATCTTTGGAACTGTAATTATATGTTTTCGAATTGTGTGAAGTCTAATATAAGATTAGAACAAATATAGCAAATAGGTTTATAGAATAGCGTTGGCTAAAAATATCAAGATTAATGAACGGACCAACAAATTAAACTTGTCAACTGGTCCGTAACATTGAAAGGCCTAAAAATATCCAGAATACGTAGTAGAACCATTAAAATAGTTACTTTTTTCAATAGACTTTATTTTATTAACCAATACGAGTTATTGAAAGCGATGCGATCTGAAACGTTTTTACTAAGAATGAAGATAAAAGGGATTTCGTGTTTCTATTTCTATTTTTGCCTAAAATTTCTTAGAATTATTCATTTATATTATTTTTGTATTCCATTTCACCTACCCAGGAATATTCTTAATAATATGGTAGTAAGTTGTTTATGACTTTTTATAAATCCCTCTATTAATTTTAAAGTGTTTGGAAAATAAATATTTTCTTTTTTTTTATCTTATTTATGTTAGAGCAGTATGGTGTTTATAATTCCGTCTTTAGAATACCGTCGCATGGAGAGAGATCAATTGGTTTTATTTAAGATACTTCAAAATTCTGTAGATTCACCCTATCTGTTACAAAATATATGCTTTAGATGTCCTAAAATTAATACACGTCATCAGTCCCTTTTTCTTTTACCTATCACAAATACCAAATATGCTCAAAATACTTTTATTTTCTGTGGCTGTGATAAATATAATAAATGTTTTTCAAATATAGATTTAACAATGTCCACAAAAAATAATACATATAAGGAAAGAAATCAGTAAAGCCTGTAAATCGTAATTAATTTATTTTAAAATTATTATTATTATTGTTTTATTAATTTATTTATCTCATGCTTTCTTTTTTTAATAATTTTCTCAACTCTCATTGATCATGTTATTATTTTGCTCCAAATGAAATTGTAATCGGTGGAAGCTTTTTGGTTAGTGTATTTTTGTATGTATTGTTTTGATTGATTGTTTAATACTGTTTGTTTCCCAAAAAAATAAAATAAAATAATATCACAGAAACGTTTTAAAAATATAATAAAAAATCATTTAACAACCCGTTTTCCAAATTAATGAAACTGTACTTTACACATTAATTAGAAATGGGCTAGTTAGCGGATAATAAGGCAATCTTTTTACAAAAAAAAAAAAATTTTGTTTTCATGGTTTCGAGTGCAAAAGTTTTCAAAAATTTTAAAAGCTCTAAAGCAGCTCATATTATATCGGGTACAGTATTTTCATAAATAAGGCGTATCCATTACGTACTTTCTTAACTGTATAATATGAAGTGACCATCATATGTCAAGGAAATTGGGTTTTTGAATTATTTTTTTTTTGTGATAAATGGAAAGATCATATATAAGTTTAATAACAAAACTATTTTTATTTTATTTTTTTTTGCAATATTTAAAAAGTTATTTCAAAATAAAAATTAAATTTTAAATTCAGTACCGAAGACAAGCCGACAGCTCGTGAATAAACCCGAGCGCGTGTGACGTCACAATGTTAGTTTTTGCTCATTGTAGCATACAGAGATATAATAATTAGTACAGTGTTTTGAGTTTTTATCTAGTAAATTCTGTTGGCATTGTTAAATAATCAAAAGTTTTGTACCATTATGTACAAAGACTACAAAAACAACTCCTGAAAAAATGTTTTTAAATGTTCCACAAGACGAAAAACGTCGAAAGAAATGGTTTCAAGCAGTGCATCGAGATTATTCAAAAACAAAATCATTTTTTTTTGTTGTGAAGATCATTTCGTTGTAAGTTTTCATAATAGTATTGTTATTAATTATTATTTATCTAAGTGTATAAATCGAATAAGTATAGTTCAATAATTAATTTTTTTACCTGGGCTCCAAATCATAACCTTTAGAATCGTAGCATTAAAAAATTTTAATTGATAATTCAAAGCGATTAAATAGTAAATCTATATATATGTTTGTCTAATAATTGGACTTCAATTAATAGATATTTTCATAATTTTATAACATTCTAGGTTCTGTATCAGACTACATTTAAATTTTTAAAGTACATATATGTTATTTTGGTTTTTTTATAATGTTATAATAACATTTTATTAATAATGATTTAATGAAATAATTATTAATTATATTTAATAGAGAATAAATACTAATTTTCATTTAGAATAGTATTTTTTGACAGACTTACCTTGATGTCTTAGCACCTCGAACTTCAGCAAAATTAAACCGCACTTTTTAAAAAATTAGTTATCATAAAAATATATTAACATCAGGAATATTATCCGATTTTGCTTTTATAAATCCTTTATCACACATAGTCGAAATAAACTTTTCAAATCGTTTTTCACTAATAAATTTGAGATATTTTTATCAAGTTAAAGATAATAGCCATAAACACTGTACTATTATGAAATTGCTTTAACATTATGACGTCACAAGTATGCTGACCAATCATGGCGCGTTTACAGTCACGTGATATATTTTTGAATTTTATCAATTTTTAATTGTTTATAATTAATTTAAAAAATATATTTCAAGTTTTTTGCATTAAAAATCCAATATAATTAATAATAAAGTTTTAAAATACATAAAAAAAATCAATACTTTTTTGTTTTTCAAAAACCCAATTATTATCGTTATTCCGACAACGTACCAAAATTTATCAATCACCTTAAGTGATAAGGTATAGAGATATATACTCGTATGTTGTATGTAGTTAAATTTAAGTCCTTATTATTTACAAATTTTATAATTGTTTTAAAAAATATGGAGATTATTCCAGCATTGTCTGAAATTCGCATTAATGCTAACAATGTCAATGGTTGACAGTTTCAATGGGATCAC